AATTTGAAGCTGATGTATATCTTGCAAGTCTCAATACATGAGCCAAATTTGAAGTGTTAATGCACAGCAGTTTTTGAATGATGAGGAGTCAAAAGTGGCTCTAATTGGTTCGTCTAAATATACGCACGGTGCAGTCCCCTCCATGGAAATAGACTTAACATGCTCCCGCATGTCCATAGTGTTTGCTCAATGTTGATTTAGTCGATTTTCTCCTGAAAGGAATATGTAAGACAACAATAAATTTTCCAATTTTAGAGACCTTCTAGAGCAGATGGCGCAAAAACTATACAAGATATAGAAAAACTTGACGGTCTCACCTGTAGCAAATTGAATAAGCTTTTTTTGGTTCATAGTAGTCATGTCACTAGGACGCATAGTTTCCGAGGATTAAGCGAAAAACCGAAAAGTGGTACCTTTAAACCCCCCTCTCCCCGCCGGCTCAAGGGCTAAGGCCGGGGACTTTTGCTATGTTCACCACCTAACTAGGCTGATTAAAGTCCCGAGGTCAGAAATTGTGTTCCACGGATTTCTCTCTACACCGTCGTTAAGGCATTCATTGACTGGACTATTAATGTCAGGAAAATTAAGAGATTTAAGACAAACACTGTTGCTATTGATTGTTTATCCTTTTTTGGTAGATACCTAGGTACCACCTACCTATGAGAAATATGAATTTTCTAAGTAAAAACAATCCACAAGTTGCTTACTTATTGAATAAAAAGAATAGTAGTGAAAATAACAAATTAATATTCTTTTGCAGCACTGAACAGTTACCATTCACGGGACAGAAGGCTGCTAAGGGTCAAGGCTGCCCACGCTGTGGTTTCCCAGTCTATGCCGCTGAACAGATGCACTCCAAGAATGGCACATGGCACAGAAGGTGCTTTTCATGTGCGGACTGCCATAGATCTCTTGTAAGTTTACATTGTTATATTAAAAAAAGGTATAGGTACATAGCTGTTCTTCGAAATAAAACACAATATTCATATTTACACTTAAAATATATTCTTCTCTTATTAAATTTGGTTAGTTTTTAAGTAGTGACGATCATCTTCCTCTTCCTTGACAAGATGAGTGTTTAAAAATTCTTCAACAGAATCAGTATTCCATTTTTCAATTGCTACTGTATCTTTAACAATACCATCCTTGTCCAGAAGTTTTATGATAGGGTCTAGGCCACGTACGTACTTAATTTGAAGGTTAGGGAACTTAGCGGGTCTGTCACTTTTCACAAACGCCTGAATCTGGGGATAGGCAGGAAACTTGCAAGTACACACTTCTAGAATGGCACGGGCATACTTTTTCTCTTTCGGAGCATTATCGTCATTATGGCAGCATTCCTTGCAGTGGACTACCAAGTCATCCAAGCTAAAATCCTTTAGTTGATCACAGGATGAGCACAGTAAATTGGCTTTAATAAATCCGAGAGAAGCACAGTCTTCAGATGTGAACTCTGCTGAAACTGTGTATGCAGATAGAAGTACTATCGATATAAAAGCTGAAAATGTAAACATTTTCCTAGATTTCTTGTAATTGTAGTGGAAATTAATTAATTACCGCTACGTAAGTAAATCAGTCTGGCTGGATCACAGATATGGATTAGGGCTGGATTGCTGGAATGACATTAACTGACATTGACAATGACATGAAATCAAATGACATATCATATTGACAGTTGACGTTTATCAACTGGTTTATTTGAACGTTTCAACAACAGTAAAAAAAATTGATCATACCGGTACCATCGAGTTTTATGTATTAATGGAGAAGACTTACAAAGAATACCTACATGAGTAACTTGCAAAATGTGGGAAAGTTTCCACCAGACCTTAGAAGATTTGTGATTATTAAAGTTTGTAGAAGTTCGCACGGAAAAAGAGGATTTTTACTAACCACAGTCTTATCATTGTTCCAGGATTCCACAAACTTGAATGACGGACCCAATGGTGAAATCTACTGCCGAGGCTGCTACGGCAGGAACTTCGGGCCCAAGGGTGTAGGTTTTGGAATGGGCGCAGGCACATTGACGATGGCGTAAATAATTTACTATAAAGCTGGACTTTGTAGGAATTAAGTGTGAACGGTAGCTTGAAAGGAATTTAATCTATTTTAACAGTGCTACCTGTCTTTTGATCATACCATTGATTAAACTGGATTTAATAATGGTTGATACTATCCAATGAGACTAATAAGTAATAGATTTTAATTAAATACAATTGTGTAAGTGCAGATATTTTATGGAATGAAGTTATAAATTAAAGGTTACATTCCTTTCATATATGTACAAATTGTGATGAATGTGTCTGAGCCCTTAGTTTATATATTCGTCATAAAATATTAGTTTTGTAAGATAAATAGACTTAAAGTAGGAACGTAAGTAATTTAAACAAAATACACAAGAAAATATTTAAAAAGTAAAAAAAAATCGAACAATTCTAAAAGTAAACAACGGCATTGTGACTACCTTCCAACTTCACGCACGTGAGATGGAGGTAGAACAACTATCCTGTAAACGCGGACAAGATTGCCACTGATGCAATCGTTTCGACCGACCAGGTCTTTTTTTAAAGATCTGAAGTGTCTATACATATTTTTATACACCAAAGAATTTTGTATATAATTTTGTCATAATATTTCTTCGGCACGATAAGCTGTGCTAAAGTAATTCCTAACTTTAATATGCTTGAAGCTTTTGCTATGTAACATGCACGTAAAGTAAATTTTTATAATTAAACAATAAGACAGCTTATAGCATATGACAATTTAATGGACGAAAATTGTATATTTTATCATTTTTATTTAATAAATTTATAATTTGTAGAATAATCGTTTTATTTCACCTGGCCATACATAGGTGCAGTACTCGTACTGACCTCGTACCTACAAGATTTAAAGAAAAACTACCCATTTAAAGAAGAACGGTCACGCCCCATACAAAAAAAACCCAGACCCGACAGAAACGAGACATACCTCAGTTTTTTTGTCATGTCTTAATTAGTTAAATTATATATTTTTTATATTCGAAATCTATGTATAACACCAAAATATTACCCTTTGTTTTTGTTTTGGCGTTATACAAAAACTAATACAAAATGCTTATTTATCACCAAAATTGGTAAATGTATGTACCTAAATGTCTATTACAGCTGCTATGGAATGTATCTAGGTGACCTGGAGATACAACCGGATTATACAGGGTGGTTATACATATGGAACGATAAGTGATCTCACTCGATTATTTCTAAACTATACAAGATATCGAAAAACTAGTTACTGATTCTGAAAGTGCTTCACGAGCTCTTTCAAATGGTACCAATAATAGGGTACAGATTATGGAAGCTGGTAACATTGAATTTTTGGATTTTGTAACTTATTATTTTTTCCACCCTGTATAATCCGGCTGTATCTCCAGGTCACCTAGATACATTCCATAGCAGCTGTAATAGACATTTAGGTACATACATTTACCAATTTTGGTGATAAATAGGCATTTTGTATTAGTTTTTGTATAACGTCTAAACAAAAACAAAGGGTAATATTTTGGTGTTATACATAGATTTCGAATATAAAAAATATATAATTTAACTAATTAAGACATGACAAAAAAATTGAGGTATGTCTCGTTTCTGTCGGGCCTGGGTCACAGATGACCGTTCTTCTTTCTTATTTTATTAATACAAAAAATAAAACATAACAATAAAAACACAATTATGCAAATAAAATATCACTGGAATAATGGCATTAAATTGAAATTGTGATGAACGAATTAAATTATAGTTACCATATCGAATTCTAACCGTTGTGTTCTAAAGACAGTGAGCGAAAAGGGACACAGCTAATTTGTAGAGTTCGCTCAATTTAAGGCCTCTACACACCAATTTCGCCGACAGCTTTATTTTAAAAGAATTGCCGAACAAGTCGATAATGACGTCGACTCATGTCAGCAGGTTTGGTGTGGAGACTGCATTATATTTAAAAAAATGCAATTGAATTGAGTATTGCATGTAGCGAATAGAACAAATTGGCTGCGGCTATGTTCGAGAAATTAATTAGATTGTTACATGAAGAATTTGTTTTGAAAACAAAACACATTGCAAAAATAATTAGATTCTAGATTCATTAGATACAATTTCAGTTATTTTAAAGTGACAGTTTTAAACTGTTTTAAAATAATACCCGTATGTAATACAATTAATGTTAAAACTAGCTGTAGTTTCAAAATAACTAAAAATAATGAAACAAAACATCTTACTCACTATTTAAAAATACCTACATGTTTTCAAAACATGATCATGCAAATAAGCTAAAAAATAAAATTCAAAGCCGGCAAGAGTACTTACTACAAGGCGGAACACGCGCGTGATATGAATAAAAACCACAAACTTATATTTAAAACACTTTGGAAACAACATGGAAAACACGCTATCACAATAAATAAAACAGTTATTTGTTGGGCTAGAAAGGGTTGCTACTTGCTGCCTTGAGTCTATCGGAAATCAAAACTTTAATAATTAATTATAGTTTCTCTTCAAAACGATAGATTAAGGCCACACATATGTATTTCGGACATTATACATGTCAATAAGGTATTACTCGTAAAGTGTGAATCAAAACTCAACCACTAGAAATAGTTACTTAGTTTCAATACGTATATTCGAAATAGTAAATATGTAAAAAAATATACCTATATTAGAATAGACACTATCATTAAAGATGTATTGCTAACTTGGAGTTTTATATTTAAAAAATACAACCCAAAAATAATAGGGTTAAAACACCCTGGGCAGACAGACATGATAACAATATCAAATTTTGAAGTTTTACAATCCAGATTTCAAAGATTTACTTTTACGGAAAAGACCTTTTCTTGTTGACAGTAACTTGGCATGGTTACAACCTAGAATTTAAATGACAGATAAAAAACAATTTTGAGGCGGATTGAACTATAAAATTAGGCGCATTTAATTATTTTTAAGTAGTTTTATCACTTATTTATTGCTGAAGTATAACTCACTCTGACATTACCTTAGATGTAGAATATCGATTATTATTTTTTCTTGACAACCAAACGAGGGCCTTTTGTGTTCTTTTTACCGTCATTGGAGGTACTAGGTTCCTGGAAGCCGTATTTGTTCTTGAGCCGCTCTCGTATGAGCAGTCCTTTGATCAGTCGCCTCCAGTTTCCATACACTCTCGCTTCTGTTTTCTCCTGTTCCTTACGTTCTAAGTCTTCTTGGTCCTGTAAATAAAATGATTTTACTGTGAAAACAGTGCACCCAAAATATTAGAATTCCTCAAGTGCAAGAATCAAGCAAGGTGATCCGTCTGCTCGTTTGCCTCCTGTCACATAAAAAAAAATAAGTTTTTTAATTAATAGGCACACATACGAGAATAGTCATTAGAGTAGAAATTGGAGAGATAAAATACCTTATATTCCAACTTGAACACTGGTCAGGCTTTAGCTTATAACTATAACTTCTTCTTTTCGTGTCGACAACAAACCTACACAGCGCCAGCCCAAAACTCCGCCACAAGAGTGGCGTTGTCAGTAGCACTCATATTTGATGAGTGAGTGAGGAAGATTTCTTCCTGAGTGCAGTTGCTTGGGCACTCAGGGCACGACATCAGGTGCTTCATCGACTGGGGAACAAAACCGCACCTGCACTCCATGTTTAAGCCATCCAAGAATCCCCACCTGACCAGATTGTCCTTGCTACGATAACTGATTGGAATAGTGAGTACGAGAGGTGGTAATGGTCCGAACTTTAACTTTCAATAGTTGGTTATTTTAGCGGCGAAGTTGTAGAGCCAGGAGATACAGGAGTTGCGGTGGTGTCATTCCTAGCCAACTCACCGCGCCGCCGCGTTGCTGTCAAATTCTATAGAAAAACAAGTACACCCGACACTTCTCCGCTCGATCCATTCCATTTCCACCGAAGCGGAGCGGAGTGGAGATGGTAATGGAATCTGATTTATTAATCAAAAAAATTATCTGCTCAGCTCAGCACGGCTCCGCCTTGGTGGAAACCGGGCCTTAAAACGAAAGATGATAGGGGCAAGGGCTAGTATTGTATCGTATCCTTAAGCTTGGTTGCTTTGCATGGAAGGGAAATCGATAGTATACCTAGACCTACCTACTTTGAAATACAATACAATATTAAAGTTGTAGCTAGTTCTAAGGCAGCCATCTATCCCCCAGAACTCCTGAAACTTCACTAGGTGAATTTTTAACGGACACGCTGTAGATCCTGGCCACCTATAAGACCTATAAAGCCAGTTATGTAGATGCGTGGGAACTAGGCGGGCGATATGGCGCAGTTAAACTATGCGGGAGATTGATCGAGACACGCATTTCAGTTATACAGGGTGTTACTTTGCATTCTTGCCATATTTACAGAGGTTACTATATTACTGATACTGAACACAAATCCGTAAAAAAATATTGCCCGAAAATTTTTTTTTTAATCTTGATTATTTTATTTTATCGACAATCTGTTAAACACACCACTAATTTTATCGTAACGCATGCACATCACTTGTTGGTGATGGCGATGGAGACTTTTTTACTTTTTATTGTATTTTTAAATATCTATTGCAATCTATTGTCTTTAAAATGTGTTTTTGACACTTGTAAAAAACTGAGAAATCCATCAATCACGTTATAAATAATACAAAAATGTCTGAAGCGTATTCAAACAACGAATAATTTAATCAAAATGGTGCTTGGAGTGTCTGCAAGACGTCTTAGACGAAATGCTTGATGACGTACCCTTAGCGTTACACCAAATGTTCTACTACCAGCAGGATGGTGCTCCCCCACAATAAGGACGTCAAGTGCGCGAATAATACGTTTGGTGAACAGTGGATTGGACGAGGGGTCCAGTAGCTTGGCCACCACGATCCTCGGACCTGACACCAATGGATTTTCGGAGTGACTTGAAACGACTGGTATGCGCAGAAGAGATAAACAGTGTTAAACGCGTTACATGAAAGGATTGTTTTAGTGAAACTGTGAGACAAAACGTTTATGTGTTGCGAAAACTAAAGCGAAAAACCTACGCTTCGCAGTGCTAGACTGTGCCTTTATCAGATGATCAGGATCACGGAGGCCACTTTGAACACTTGCTTCGCGGTATGTAAACTTTGTAAGTAGGAACTTTTTAATAAATTAATTAATTGTGAATAAGGTGATTTCATTTCATACTTAATTTATTAATTTGTAAAAATAGGGTACAATGTTATAAATTAATTAAAACCCTAATAATTATTACGTATTTTTGACGGTCCTAAGCCCGTAAAGTAGAAAGGGAAATCTGAAATCAACTGAAGAGTATTTTAAAATAATTATTATGACTGGATAAAAAGGCTGGTACCCAGAGCCATAAATCAACAGATTATTAAGAACTAGGCCACGCCCACTAGGTTTATTCCACTTGCACCTGTAGAACGTGCGAGACAAAATTGGTTTATTCCAATTTGTACTGAAAAACCAAATTTACTAAATTCTTAGTGTACTTTCTTTATGGGAGTCTCTTGTTTATCTTAAATAATAGGTATTGTTCCCTACTTTTATCTCTGTGAATATGGCAAGAATGCAAAGTAACACGGTGTATTAGCCCATACTTCGGTGTGCGTAAAATAATAAAAGATATACATTATGTATATCTAATACATACCGCGACCCAGGCCTCTTGGATGAGGTCACCGAACTCCTCGCAGACCACGAACCCGTCGTACACGGGGTGCGACCAGCCGCCGTTGAAGTCGAAGCCGGTCATCGCGGGCGCGCAGTCGATGTTCAGCTTCTTGGCTATTCTGTTCAGACCGGGCACTGTGAAATATAAAGCATTTCTATACTGAAAATATCATAGGTTCATTGAGAATGTAACGCCCGTATTCACAAACGATGCTTGCTTAAGTGAAGTAGCAAATCGAACGCACAGCGTTGAATGGTTCGTGAGCCACCCTGTGCGTTTACGCGCTCTGTGAGACCTCATAGTAATGTTTGTGAATACGGGCGTAAGTAGTAAATCTGCCGATTTTTTACTTAGGCTGGGTTGCAAAAACGTCAGAAATCTGTCAAACTCCATACAAAACACACCGGTTATCGTTACTTACTGTTAAAGTTAGGTGGTGCAACTCAGCCTTACAATCATCAATCAAATAAAAAAGACAATTATTTTATTTGACGTCACACTTGCAAATGCAAACAAGAGAAGAAAATTATTAATATTTAATAAGCATTTTTATATGCGTCCTTTTCAGGTAAGATAAATCACACAAAAAGTTTCTTAACTTGGAATAAATGGAAACCAGAAATTCTGTGATTTTATCTCAGATAATTTTTATTAAAGTTTACGACTGGTTCGTTCATTTTATCCAAAAGACGTCTTAGCCATTGCACTAAACTATCCAAAGAATTTCCATAACGGGCGGTCCTGCACTGCCTGCATCCAGGTGCTTCCCTAACTTTCACCAGATCGTCAATCTACCGATATTGGTTTATGACTACAAAAAGGCTAAGAAACCTTCCTGACTATAGGTTTCTTGTTTTGAGACGTCAAACATCAGTGAGACTTCAGATTTGTATGCTCTGTCAAGTCAAAATATATCAGTCACCCCTTCCGTACAGAGGCCCTAGTGTGAGTTTATAACATTAAATGTATGATGGATTGTACAGCGCCCCTAGCGGGAAACGTTCAAAAACTACAATTTTCATACATTTTTTAAACGCGTTCACTAGTGAAGACGTTTGATGTAAACTCACACTCAGCCCACTGCTCCCATATCTTAGGCACTGGACTGAGTTAAGCGCTAGAACTACAGCTGGAATAAAACAACGATTGCAATACTCACATTTGATATGAACAGTTCCTTTCGGCAGCATACACGCCTTGAACAACTCGACGTTGCCGTAAGCGTTGCGCGGTACTATCCCGCCCTCGGCGGTCGGAGGCTCGTAATCTTGCACTTGCCACGGCCCGAACACTTCGAGAGGTTTGTCCGTTATGAGCTTGTTGGATAGCTGCAACAAAAAGTCCTCATCAAATCACTACAGGATCAGTCACTGTCATCCGCTTTGCACTGGAGAATATTGGATCCTTAACTTTGAACTTCTGATTGTAATTAATTTCGTTGCGGGTCCATCGACAATTTAAATATCCCCGGGACAAACTTGACCCTCATTGGCGGACAACCTATAGTAGGAGTTGCAGCGATGCAAAGGAGAGGTAGGAATAACTCTGGAAAATACAGAAACAAATGAAGGTTTATGCTTACACTCCACACGCTGTCTGGCGGGTTGGGAAGGCCTGATGTTGGCATACATACTTCTTTCTCAATCGTCTCTTGCGATATCCACGGGAAAAGTGGGGGTGGTCCTATTTTACTAGCTCATCATCATCATTTTTTAGCCACAGGACGTCCACTGCTGAACATAGGCCTCCCAAATGATTTCCACAATGGCATCCAGCGCCTTCCCGTTATCTTCATGAGGTCGTCGGTCCATCTTGTGGGTGGACGTCCTACGCTGCGCTTTCCGGTACGAGGCCTCCACTCCAGAACCTACTAGCTAATTACTAATTATTTATAGTCCTCTCTGACATCACAATCTTACCTTATCCCACTTCGGGCGTGCCTTCACAACCTTATAAGGCTCTTCCCCCAACCGCACCACTTTGGCTTCCTTCAGCCACGTGTCACGTGACCGGCACGTGTAGACACACTCGCGAGCGTACACCGGCTCGCCGCGTACGAAGCCTAGAGTAGCCGCATCGGGCGGGTAGATCGCTTCGAACTTTAATAGGTGACGCTTAAGCGCGTAAAGGGGATGGTTTTTGTACCTGGAAATTGGGAAAAAAAATTAAATGAAGTAAGTACTTTACAGACGACAATAGCAAGCTACGCTGTGGAATCTTATTTAAAGGTCGTTTCATCCACGAAGACGCGCACGCGCCCCACCACTTTTTGGTTGAAGGAAGCGCGGGGTGCGGGGAGTTTGATTCGAGCAATCCGAGCGTCATTATTGTAGTGTGCGTGTGCACTCATGGGTACTGTCATGTCTATGGATGACGTCTCCATAGAAACACATTGTTTTCGCCCCACCACTTTTTGGGCGTTTCCCTCGCCCAAAAAGTGGTGGGGCGCGTCTTCGTGGATGAAACAATCTTACCTAGTTGTACAATCTCATGTGCAACAAAAATGCATAATCTGATAATGTCAACTGTAAAAGTCTAATCTTCTTTACCTTCCTGTCAAAGGCACAATTCACCCCTACTAAAAGTGTGCGGACTCAATCACATACCCCGTGGTCCCAGTGGCGGCGTAGCATGGGTTGGCACCCGGGGCGATCATCCCCCCCCCCCCCCATCACAAGTCTTAAGGCACCCCCTGGTACCCCCAGGATTTTGGGGTTACCTACCGATTCGAAGATTGAAAGACAATCGCACCCCCCACCCCCCCGTATCATGACATAGACCACAGATTTGCCATGCAGATGTGCCAGTGAGTACTAATCTGCGCGAATTGTGTCAACCCCTGATGGCGGTCCGCCCCGGGTGCCAAGCATCATGCCGTTGTATGTGCCCCTACTCCAAACTCAACTCTTAAAAGTTTGTGGTAAAGCGCTTATACCCGTTTTCATCATCAATCTCTAATTTTTAAGTGACCCCTGTGGTAACATATAACAGGAATTTTGTTTACATAGGGGTCACTTAAAAATTAGGGATTGATGGTGGCATTAGCAAATAAGGATGGGCACACACTCCTAGGCTACTCCCGAATGTAAATCTACAATATTTAAAGAGAACCACTCACTCTGCAATGCTCTTAGGCAACGGCGCTTCCAGCTGCATCCTATCCAATTGTTCATTCTCTTCCCTATCACGTGGGTTAGAAGGTGCTAGCCAAGGTTTGACTGCTTTGTCCCACCATAGTGGTTCGGCGCGCTGCTTCCTCGTGACTGTGTTCCAATGCGGCACGTAGCGCCTGGTCAGGTCCTTCAGGTAATTGTTGTTGTCCCAGCCTACTACGTAACACACTGGGTGGCTCGCACCGGTCTGGGGAGAAATTGATTTGGGAATTGTTCAGGTTTTGCATTTTATTCGTAATCTATACAACATGAGTTCACTAGATTTCGCGATCTTGCCCCTTGCCTAAGGCGACTTTTTGTAGCGATTCTGTCGCGTGTTTGCATCGGTATAGTCGCAATGCGGTCGCTAGCTGTGTGCCCTCGCCCACATAAACGCGCTTCTGTTGCGATGTAAACGCAATACTGTCGCGTTTCTGTTGCGATGAAAACGCGATTCAGTAACCGTCCCAGGGAGGACCTCCGGAGGGAGGAGGGCCTCCGTTCTCTCCCCGATGTCGTCCGACACGGTCGCGCGTTTGCATCGATACAGTCGCGCTGCTGTAGCGCGTTGGTATCGCTTCTGTAGTGCGTTGCATATGCGACTAACGCGCGCTTCTGTCGCGATGCAAACGCAATACTGTCGCGTTTCTGTTGCGATGAAAACGCGATTCTGTAACCGTCCCAGGGAGGATCTCCGGAGGGAGGAGGGCCTCCGTTCTCTCCCCGATGTCGTCCGACACGGTCGCGCGTTTGCATCGATACAGTCGCGCTGCTGTAGCACGTTGGTATCGCTTCTGTAGTGCGTTGCAAATGCGACTAACGCGCGTTAGTAGCGATGCTGTCGTTCGTTTACGAAACGTGCGACAGCATCACTATAAAAAATCGCCGTGGGCGAGGGCCCAACACTCGCTCAACTGAACTGTATTGCACGCCGAATACTTTACTTTAGTGCGACTTTGACATTCATGTAAGCGATCTAGCGCTGCACGTTTAAGTTTGGTTAGACGACGGAGCGGAGTTTAGTTTTAATTATTTCCAAAATGGAGCAAAATTAATGTTGCCTACGATAGCTTCTCTATCCTTACTTCTACTTTTCTCTACCCTATGGTGTGCAGAATCAACGTTTTTTCTAGATTTTTCTATATTTGCTATACTTACATATAGAGTTCCAGCGCAATGAACCGTCGCTTTAATGACATTAACAGATATCCACTGCTCAAGCTCTTCAACAAACACTTCGCACCACACATCTATCTTGTTTACGGGAGTGTCGCTCTCTGACGATGATATAACTCGACGGTCTATTTTCTTGCTTGTGCTGGGTCTAGGACTTATTTTAGTAGAAGGCTTGAATTCATCGTCGCTTTCAGATATACCACGGACGTTTTCTTCAGGCAAAAAATCGCTATCGTCATCTGACTCAGGTTTTGATTTTCCTGAAATTCAAAAGAATCAAGTAATTGTCACAGCCCTGAGCCTTTCTTCAAATGTATTTAAGTAGTTTTTTTGTAAGCAATGGATTACAACTTAAATGATAAATTTTACCTTTGACTTTTCCTTTCTTTGATTCTTCTTTAGCTTCCTTTACGCGTCCCTTTATAAGATTTATTAAGTCGCCCTTTACATCATTTTTGGGCTTTGTTGTCTTTTTAACTAAATCTCTATGGCTTATTCTTTTTTCGTCTTCTGCTTTAGGATCCAATTCTTTCTTGTTTTTCAAAGACAACCTAGACTTTTTGCTCTGAGCAGAAGTAGACTCAGTTTCAGAATCAAAATATTTGCTTTTCTCAACAGCATTACCAGGAGCACTTTTGGTTCTGCTTTTATTAGGCTTATCTTTAACAGGTTGTGAACTATCTGGGTTTGCAGTCAATGCTCTCTTTCGAGACAGTCTGGTTTTATTATCATTTGAAGTTTCATTGCTAAAATACTTGCTTGATTGTTCCTTATCTTGATTGGCTTTTGTCACTACAATTTTAGGAGGTTCTACTTTAGATTTCGCTTTCGTGTCTTTTTTCTGAGATTCAACTTTTGCCACCTTTTCACTGTTTGTTGAGCTCTTAACAGAATTTCGAGTTCTTCGAGATTTAGTTGCTGGTGGGTCATTGCTATGTTTTGTATCCTTTGAATTCTCTTCAGATTCTGACTTTGATTGCAAGTCTTTACTTGTTTTAGACATGGTTTTCTTAGGTTTTGGGCTAGGAGTATTTCGAGATTTTTTCGGAGGCGACACGTCCTCTTCAGTGGCATTTTTTGTTGCCGTTTTTGCTTTTCTTGCTCTAGTGTTCCTTGTTTCTTTCGGCAAAGCATCATCATTGCCATCTACTTGCATGATGTTGTCAAATGACTCATCATCTTCTCTGTCGTAATTTCCGTCAACTTGGGATATTTTCTCTTGGCTTTTGGGTTTAACTTTGGATTTTTTTGTGTTGCTTGTTGATGCTTTATTACTTTCTACTGCTTTTTTAGCCTCTTTGGATTTCTCTTTGTTTACATCTTCTTTAGGTTTAGTGGACAAAGAACATAGTTCAGAACTCGGTGGTTTTATTGGTAATGTGACGAAATTGAACATGACCCGACACTGCAGTCCTAGAGCTCTCAACATGGCTACAAATATGAACACAAGATATTTTTTTGTAGTCACAACTCTGCTTTTAAGTTGCGCTAGTAAAATTTCTTTTAGAGGTGGTGCTTTGGGCCTGAATTTGTTTTCATTTTTATCTTGTTTGAGAGTTAATTTATCTTTGAACCAAGTAGTGATCTGCTCCAGATATTTCATGTCAACTCTTTCACCTGGATAGCATTCTTTAGAAGGTACAAGAGCCAAGGTAGCTGCTAGCACTTCTTGGTCATTCAAAACTTGACTGACATGATTACCATGACCTAACCAACACAGTACGTGAACTTTATGCATATAGACCTGGTATTCTTTCTTTACTCTATTAATTTTTCTTTTCATCATCATTTCAACATCGATTTTTTTAGTCTTCCGACATACTGAATCTGGGAGTTGGACAACTAGTTGAAGACCTTGCTGTGGTATTGCTTTATTTTCTGAAAAATTAATTAAGTGTTGAATAGATTGTTATTTTTTTATGTATTGTTTATTTATTTAACATATTTATTGCACACAAAATAAATAGTGGTACAACATGCGAGCTTAATGCCATGTGGCATTCTCTTCCAGCTAACTAGAAAATTAGGCAAAAAAGATAATTTAAGTAGGTGGTGCAAAATAGTACAAATACATAAAATGGATACTAATTTAAAATACATTGTTGAGTTATTGGTGCATGCAGGATAAAATAAATTAATACCTTGTACTTCTTCCCAATCATCTACATCTGAATCACTCTCATCCTTCACTTTCTTGTTTCTAGATTTCTTCTTTACTGGTGTTTTACTAGGAGATATGATTTCCTCGCCTTGGGCTAGTAGATCTTGAACGTTGAACTCATTTTCTTTTTGTTGCTTAACTGTATATTTATTTACAGATGCTTTTGTCTCTTCTATTTTGGATTTATGCTTTTCCAATTCCAAAAATGCTTTTCGGGCAACTTCCTCACTATCAACTTCTTTATTGTGAGACCATACCTGAAATATAACAAATAAGTTCTTTTTATCAAAATGTTTTTAACAAAAAAATCAAGGTAAATTATAAAATAATACTTACATCTTTGTACTCAGTTTTGACTTCATCTTCACTATTATGATCATTATCAGAAAATATGGATTTTGCAGTAGTATTTTTACTTGATTGCTTAGGAGATTCATCATCACTACTATCTGTAATATGACATTGTTATGTTGTTATTGGTCAATTTTTTTAGAACTCACATTCTCACACAACCAGCTAACTCTATTTAAATGCATTAAGGTAACAACCAGTGTATTTTTGGGTAAGCTCGGTTTACCATAGATCACATCTGCACCCATCTAGTGAGATAAACATCGAAAGCAAACCCATGCTAAATTCCTTCCATGGAAATAATGACAATCTCATCTTTGATTGTTAAAAAAATACATAAAACAACTCATAAAAACACATTTATTTATGCAAGTAGGCTTTTAAAAAGCACTTTTACACGTCCCTGTATTAACCCTACCACTGCTTCAGGACATACAAAGATGTAGATAAAAATCAGGATTAATTTCAGATTTCAAAATATAGTAAAATATAATAGGATTAGGACTAAAATGTTTAACACTAAGTAATAATTTTAAGTTTCACTACCAATATTAACAAGGCTGTAAAAAGTAGAGATGAAACGGATAGTTGTTTGGCCGGATACCGGATACCGGATATCCGGCCAGCTGCTAGGCCGGATAGCCGGATATCCGGCGGCCGGATAGTTGGCCAATTGTCTCGTTGCATGTCGTGACGAGTTTAGCGCCGCACAGGTGCTTCGAACGCGATCAGTGGGTCTATTAGTAGACTAGACAAGCCACACTTTTCGAAAATCGAATCCATCCGAATAGAAAGTCAGATTTTGCCACTTATCTAAGAGTAGGCGCACACCGTTGATTTTTAGTTGGCAGATTGTACAACTATACAATAAATTACCAAATAATATTAAATCGTCCGAATGTATGGCCAGCTTCAAACGACAGCTAAAATCCTATGTAACAAGCCAGATAAATATTTAAACATAAGTTATTAATTACAAATAAAACATTTATATGTACCATCCTAGACTGCATCTTACTTAACACCGGGTGCGTGCCTTGTCTTGCATAAATATATATATTATACAGGGTGTTTGGCGCATCGTGTGCCAAAATGATTTGGCGGATAGAATGGGTCATTTCCTATATTTTCAGCCCCCATAACACGTTCCATGTCAGGCGGCTACTTTTATATTAAGTTTTTTAGTAATTTCACCAAAATACCCAAATCGCATCATTTAATTTCGATTTAAAAAAAAACTACTAAGCGTAGCCTCAAAGTAAATATTTTGTTTTGACGTGCATTGACATAGGGTTGCATCAAATCTAAATTTACTGGCAAATATCATCTAGTTTTTTTTAAATTCAGCTTTGAACTTTTCCGAAAAGTTAAAAATGGACTGAACATTTAAGTTTACATGGCTATAAATTTTTTTTTTTTTTACCTGTAGGTATTTAACGTGTTATTCACACAAAAAGGGGCTATAAACACAAATTTCGCAAATCAGTCCGAATAGAGTCAATGCACTAATTTAGGGAATTTGTGAAGTTGTTGTTATTATTTAAACAAGATTAGTATACCGTTTGAATGGGGATAGACTAGAGAAGTTTTGATAAAATCCGAAGATCGCTATCTCTTTTAAAAAAAAATTTATAGCCATGTAAACTTAAATGTTCAGTCCATTTTTAACTTTTCGGAAAAGTTCAAAGCTGAATTTAAAAAAAACTAGATGATATTTGCCAGTAAATTTAGATTTGATGCAACCCTATGTCAATGCACGTCAAAACAAAATATTTACTTTGAGGCTACGCTTAGTAGTTTTTTTTTAAATCGAAATTAAATGATGCGATTTGGGTATTTTGGTGAAATTACTAAAAAACTTAATATAAAAGTAGCCGCCTGACATGGAACGTGTTATGGGGGCTGAAAATATAGGAAATGACCCATTCTATCCGCCAAATCATTTTGGCACACGATGCGCCAAACACCCTGTATATATATAATTATAAACATACTTAAATATAAACATTCCTACTAAAATACTATTAAATAAATAGATCACACACATAACTATAATTATAATAAAATATTTTAAAAAAACTACCATATTGCATGCATTCATTAAAAAAATAATTAATAATTTAATCAACAAAAAAAAATACAAGAACAAAATTTTAGAAACTGATAAAATATTTTAAAAAATGTAATAATTTAATCATGACGTCTCTCGTCTGCCGTGACAATGCCAACAATGCCTCATCCATTTTCAATGCTTCGTGCATTCGTGTTCAAGTTTCTAACACTCACAGGGAATGGTCCGCGCTGAGACTGTTTGGTTTGGTTTTTTAAGACTACCGACTTTTATGAAATATTAATTTAGTGATAATTATTTCTTTGTTTTTAGCGAAGCTCGTGTCGCTTATAAAAATGTATTAAAATGTTAGTTTCTCAGTAAGTGAATCTGTATTCTTATGAGAAATAAAGTGTCTTTAACCATAGATAGTTATGCCCGATTTTAAATTGTATGAAGAATCGGCCAAATCGAATCGGCGTAGTGTGCGCACTCCCCTACATGCCCATACTGATCAACTGCCCGACTAAACTATCGGCCGACGAAAAATCAACGGTGTGCGCCTACTCTAAGGGATAGATCAATTCGGGCGATTTCGGTTGCCATCGTGTGTGATTGAATAGTGAAAATTAAATTAGTTTACTTGCTGAGTAATCTGATTGAACTGCATCATGTCATCAGATCATCAATGAAAAAAAGATCGCCTATTTTATTTGGCAATATTTCGACATTAACAGATATTTACTATTTATGTACCAAGTATTCGTCATTAGAGTGAATAGCCCAGAAAAAGAAATTAGTTTTTTGAAAGGCTTTAATATGGCTTTTTTGTAACTTTTTGGACTTTAAATAAAAGCCGTCATTATTATAAGCCATTTTATTGACATTTACCTCAAAGATTAATGCATTTCATTGTATTAATAGGAAATTGTCGTAGTTTTTTAATATCCGGTATCCGGCCGGATAGTGAGTTACTATCCGGTATCCGGCCGGATAGTAAATTTAGGCCGGATATCCGGCCTACCGGATAGTTACCGGATATCCGTTTCATCTCTAGTAAAAAGTACTCATGTATCAGTATTAAACATACATAGGTATTAGCTTTCCTAAAGATGCTATCTATTTTAAATTATTTGATGTTAGAACCAAATGGATGAAATGAAGGCACAAAGACAAAAGGAAAAACCTTACCACTTTCAGATAGATTTAATATAGGAGGCAGCAGTTTGTCAGCATCAGTTAAATCTTTGACAGAAAAGGGAGCAGGTGAAACATCATTGTTCTCATTTTCACTAGCTGCTGTGGATTGTTGACTGATTCTATTGATTAAGGTTTTTACAAACTTTTTTGGTATTTTTGGTTGTACTTTTTTTGTAGGCTGTTTTTTACTCTTTACAAATTCATCACCAGATGATGCAACATCTTCATTTTCCACTTCTTCTTCTGAACTAGACTCCTCCTCTGATATTTTTGCGTCCGAACCAGAATCACTGAAATCGCCGGTCTCCCCGGCACTATCGTCCTCATCTTTATAAACAGTTTTTATCACTTTCTTTCGAGTAGTAGGCATTCCAGTTTACTAATACAAAGTTTGAGATGGATATAAAATTCAAAATACGGATAAATAGCGTGTTTTTAGCGAAAAAAGTGGCAACAAGTTTTGTTCTGTTTTTCCCACTATTTCCCACGCACAGATAAATAATGACAGATCCCACGGGGTCATGAAGCTACAGATAAAAATGGAGGCCACACTCCGAATACCTACTTGAAGCACAAACTAAGTATCACTATCTCGCTCTCTGTGGGCAGACTCGCTCTTTCTAAATAAACAAAAAATATAAAATTGCTCAAATTCAATGAAACCAATGTAAAATCTTTATTTCTTGACATAGGTATCATTAAAAATGACAAGTGTAATTACTGGTAAAACGTTTTAGGTAGAAATTACTGTAAAAAATGTGAAAAATGTTTACAATGATCCAATGTCGGAAATCACGAAATAAACACTTACGCGTGGAATCTTATGTCACTTCCAGGACACCACGTACTACCGCAACCACGCACTACAAAATTTTGCACCAATTCTTGTGATAAAACAATGATTATTTCCTGTAAACAATCTCAAACGAAATTAACTGCTTAATAAACAAAATAGTAAACAACCGCCATGATGGGCCGGATTGGGCCGATGTTGCCACATGGTACCGATTACCCAGGAATTGGGATTGTAATTCCCTGATTCACCAACACATTAAGCCTAAATAGCCGACAATTTTGTGATTTTTTATTTAACTAGGTAATCTTAGTTTCAAATATTAATTATTTATTAAATTTGTTTAACTTCTGATTTGGTTAGTGAATTGGCTATTTCGAAGAATTTACAAGGAGATTTAAGATAGCAATACTACAGTTCGCACTAAAAAGAGAGGTAGGGCCGCAGAGAGCGAGATAGATATAAGTATACCTTAGTTCTTTAGAAATTTCCCTAAATGTAAACAAATATGGCCAACTGACATTGGCGAATTTTGAGTCTATGTCAGTTGATCTACTAGTGATGCGACAAAATCTA